GTAAGGAAAGGAAAAAAATGTTTGGCCTCTAGATTTCTTCAAATTATTACCTAAAAATGTTTAAGCACCTCTGAAGTTAAGAGGTCTGAGGTCACTCATTTATTTATTTAGAAACATACATCAGGAGCATGCTAGAGATCAGAGACCAATAATGTCTCTGCTCTCCCTTGAGGAGTTCACAGTATAGTGGAAGAAAATGGCACATAAGCACGTAGAAAATAATGTGTAAGTGCTGTCACCAGAACCAAACACCTCACAAACAACTCCAGTCATGGCTGTCCTGGTCACTTTCAGGGATAAAGAAACTAGAAATAGCATCTCTGTACAAAGGAAGCACAGGAATCTATCAAATGCACTTTATCAGCATTATATTAAGCCTGACTTCCCCAGTTTGGATAGGCATTATTTGCTCCATTTTACAGATAAGGAACACTGAGGTTCAGGATGTTAAGTCACATAGCTATTAGGTGGAAAAACCAATCCCTGAAACTCCTCTGGCTCCACCTACTATGCCAATTTAACTAAGCCCTGTGCTGTGATCTCATTGTAGATTAAACCGACCTTCACTAGCCCTTTTGTTTTGCCAAGATAATTTTGTTTTGAAAAATTGTAACTCTTTATTCAACCACAGCATGAATTATAATAGATTATATGGAGTTTTAGGAATTAAGGCTCCATTTCAATATGAGAGCTAGAAGTAAAGATCTTCTAAACTTTCTGAAGTCCCTAAGACACTTTTTCTAGAGTAGGTCACTTACGCATTCCAGGACATCTGAAACCTCATGAAGCTATTTGTGTTCATGTAAAACCATCCTTCTGGAGACCATCAGGGTTTGCTGCAGAAATGAGGAAGTAGGTTGGTTAGATGTCTAACTAATTGAATTAAATACTTGATTAGTTAAACTGTTAACTCACAAGTTCTCATGAAGAAAGGTTTTTCTCAGTGGGTTCACCCACCACTCAGTTCCACACTAAACCAAACTTACAGACAAGATGGAGCCCATCGCCCTTGGTACCCAGCCCAGAAAATGTGGAGTCCACCTGACCAGGAGGCCTCCCTTCCACATCCCAGCGTGTTCATTCTGTCTTGGAGAGTTATCCTCAACTGATCCAGACAAAAGCTAGCAAACAGTTCATTTATCTTCTATCTTGACTGGTTTCTTAAGGGGCATTTACGAGTGGGTCACCTTTACTTTTTGAACACTATAAAATGTTCCAAATACACAGTGCAGAGAAGAGCCACCATTTTAAAAACAATTACACAGAGTGGTTTCCTTACTCTGAACCAAAAGGGAAAACACATGCACCTGTAGCAAACTCACAAACTCAGTGCTCCCCAATTGTGGTTATTTTCAATACAATAAGTTCCTTGAAAGTGCCCTAAACATGGCCAAATTTAAAACTCTTTGTTTTGGCTGTTGGAGATATAAGTAAATGATAGAAAAAGAATTTCTATTGGTTCCATCTGATAAAATGCATAAGGGAAATCATCTCTTCCTGTGAGATAAGGAGTTTAGTAAA